TTCCTACCATTCCTTCCATTGTGTACTACCTAACCCTTAAGCCAACACAGTTCATTTATAATTTTTGCTATAGTAACATTGCCATCCTCGCAATAATTTCAGTATTAACCAAGTGTTGCTCCAGGGAGAATAAACACCAAAGTCACCATGGTTTAAAACTGTAAGTTTAACTCTCATTTGCACTGCACATCTGTTATGGCTTCTGTCTATGTGTCCCCTCAAAGCTTCATAGGCAGCACTTTTTCAGAGCTGGGTCTACAGTTTGTGACACTGGGATCGATTCATGGAGCAATGCTAAGAAAAAGGGCATAAAATTAAAGGTGTGACTGCCACCTACTCTAGGTAGTCTGGATAATGTCTAAAGGCACAGAAAGAGTTGTGGTCCTCCCTTGTTTCTTTGCTACCTTCTGCCCACCATGAATTCTTTCTCCTCTGCAATGCCACCCTGCCTTGAAGCCAGGTGATTATGGACTGAAATCTCTACAAAGTGGGAGCTAACTATACGTTTTGTCCTTTAACTTTGGGTGTTGTGTATTTTGTCTCAGCGATGAGAAAAGAAACTAAGAAACATCCACCATAGGATGGTGGGAAAACTGCTTATTGTCCTCATTCTGGATCCCAAGTTGATGCTGAAGCCACAATCTTCAGTGTGGAGCTGGTTGCTACAGTGCCAAAGGGTCTTGCATTCAGTAAGCCTAGAAATGACTAACATTATTTCAGCTAGTAACTAACAAACCAAAATTAAGTACATAATGTTACTTAGCTACAAGGAAGTAAGGAAGAATAATTCTCTCTCATGTTCAGAATGGCAGACAAAAGGAAATGCTTACTGAAATCATGAATATCTACAAAAATAGGTACATAAAAACATTTGTGATAAATGCTGTCAAGGAAAAGTAATTGAGCCATATGGTAGATTGAAGGACTTATTTGAAATAAGTTGTCTTGAGATCACTCTGAAGAAGGAAGAGTTACATTGAGATCTAAAAGTTTGGAAGAAGTGGGCAAAGTTTAATACAACATTCTAGATAGGAAACAGCAAGGATAAATTTGCTAGGGTACAAAGCAAGACTTACAGGTAGTGAAGAAGTAATGAGGGCAGGAGACAGTGTCATGTTACAGAAGGGATCTTCAGGGTCTGGTCACAGAAGGTCTGGAAGGCCTCAGCAAACTCTCAGGGTTGTAACTTAGGTATAACAGAAAGCCACCGGAAGATTAGGTCAATAGTGAATGTTTTACATATAACTGTATGGCTTGACATTGTCATGTTTCCTAGCTCTTCTCCTTTCCCTCTCTTGATTAGTTAGTTCTTGAGATCCTGCTTTCCTTTTACTTGTATTATAACTTTCTATTTGTATTTCTTCTTTTGAGTTCTTATACTAGGGAGACTGTATGATATTTACATTTTGTATCTGTGTATTCAAAGTGGATGGGATAGATATATAGCTACATTCTCTTAATGAATAGAATGATTTGTTCTAATGGTATTTGTAAATAGGATCTCAAGTCCACATCTTGTACAGCAATTAACCACTAAGAAGAATGTATGCAGTGTGTTAGTTATTGAAACTGTCCTAGCGATTTGATTTGAAAGTGTCTCATTGCTATTTGTTTATCAATAAAATTATGAAAAAAAAATAGTGAATGTTCCCATCTTAAAAAAAACAAAAGGGTAATTCCATGTGAGGAACTGCCTGGAAAGGGATATGTAAAGTGAGGAAATTAGCTGGGAGTCTATGGTATTAGCAAACAGGATAACAGTGGCTAGAGGAGAGGTGGGTGTGTGCTCAGCGCCAAAGATGGCAAGAAATGAATGGGTTGAATAGGATAGAAGTTAAGAAATTGTACAAGCTCCAACTCTCATGCTTCTCAACTAGGTTTGAAATCTATGGAAAACCAGATCTGATTACACATATTAAGTTCAAGACATTCAAGAGGGCAAGAAGCTAAATACAGAAGTGGATCACATAGGAGAAACCTGGTCTAGAATGGTAGATCAAGACCCGTCAGTACAATGTAACACAGTAGAGATCACAGAGGTGAGAGTGTGACTTCAGAGGATGGCTGAGGATTGTAGGATTTGCTGAACGAACTCTTCCTTGAGAGTTGGTTTTTAGAATGTTCATCGCTGTGTATGTGGGTTTATCCTTTCAATTGTAAGGGACAGGAGGCCCCTAGCTAGGAAGATAGGATGGAGGCCTTCTTAAGCTTTGTTAGAAGTTCATGGAAAAACATACAAAAGGCTACAGCCTCTGCCTCTAAAGATTAGGTTCAAGCAATCACAAAGACAAAGGCAAAGACACTAAACTCAGGAAGGTCCCAAATAATATGATCAACATAAGCCCCTTTATTTAATCCTTAAACTACCTGTCCCTAAATCTCCCACCCATAATCCTCACCTCCACCAAATAATAGGAAAGGACCAGGAAAAATAGGAACAGAAGAAATCCATGGGGAGGGCCAAAGACTGCCAGGGAGCCAATCAGATTCCAGGAGTCTACAAGAGCCCTGGATCTCAAAAAAAAAAAAAGAGCTGCAGACAAGAAATCCAAGACTATTTCTCTTTTAAATACTCCCTAGTCACCCAGAGTAACTCTTCTATCTGCTTTCTCCTCCTCATTCTCCTTTTCCTCCATCTTCAAATAAATTGTCTTCCTTTACTTTGTATCCAGCTTAATTCTTAATGAATTGAAGTGTTTTTGTCTGCCATTCTGAACATGGGAGGAATTGCCTGGAAAGGGATACATAAAGTGAGGAAATTAGCTGGGTGTAGCTGATACTGGGTTTAGGATCTCTGTTCCTGCATGTTCCCACAGACCAGTGGCATGACTTGGCATGATATTCAGCCCCAAACATCACCTCAGCAAGTAAAATTAGCAGAATAACAATATAGGTATAGGTTAAATATTTAGAGGTTTTTCTTTTGATCCAAATCTATCACTGTTATTACTAAATAGTAGCATAATGTACTTACTGAACAACTTTTATTATTTCTATTTTGTGCATGTAGAACTCTAAAATAGAGAACATGTCCAACATGACACAAAGATTAGTAAAGCTGGGTCCTACACTCAAAATCAAACCAATGTGGCTCCAGACTGTGTGTTATCAGTTCCTGCGTATAGGGCAACAGTAGTGAAGCAACTTGCTTTGTTTGTTGGCCATAAAAAGTTGTCTTTGGATCTCTCAGTGTTCATATGCACGCATCTGGATTATTAGGGTTATGAGGTACAAATCACATGGTTGATGCACTCCAACATATTTTATCAAACCCTTGGAAAAATAGAACTGCCTCACTAGAATGGTCCTGAAGCTTCAACTCACTAAAAACACTCACTCACACACACACACACACACACACACACACACACACACACACGAAACAAAACAAAAGATGTACCAGGACACTTTGCTCTGCCTTGTGGTATTAAACTGAATTTCTAGTCCTGAATGTCATTTGCCAGTCAGAGACCTGAGTTAGCTTTTCCCCCCACCATACCCTCAAGTTATTCACACCACAGATCGTTACACACGGTATTCAGACAGCACTAAACTCACATCGTTGTTTTAAGAGATGAGGATTTCCTTGAGGGCAGGAATTGCTTTATTCTATCCTTTTCACTATTTTCTGGTGGATTTGCAGAGTATGGAATGAAAAGAAGCATGCATAGTGAAGGAAGAAGAAAGGAGAGAAGGAGAAAAGGGTGAAGGAAGCAGGTAAGGAGAGCGGAAAGGAAAGAAGAGGAGAAAGAAGGAGGCGGAAGGAAGGTGAAGAAGCAGGAATGAGGGGAAGAAATATTATAGACAGTTCAGTTAAATAGAAATTAGTGTATTATAGGCAGGCAGACCCAGAGAAGCCCTTGAGGGAGTCAGTGCAGAGAATGAGAACACCTTACAGCTATGGCTGCAGGCACATCTGTCAGAAGTCAGACATCAAGATAAAGATGGAATGACCAGACCTACACGCTTCCCTGAGGGATAAGCAATACATTAAATCTTCTGCTATAACTGGTATCACCTGGTCCAGTAAAGTCTAGACAGACATCAGTCACCACGTGGTTGCTCAGGACCTCCTGGTCCATCTCCTCCTAAAAACGTTTTTGGTCTTTTCCGTGTACACTTGCTGTGTGACCCCCCTTCCCGACTGGATCAATATTACCTAAGGCTATCCTTGTAATCTTACTGGTTGATCATAGTTTTGACCCACACAGTACCCACCTCATGGTTTTTCGCTATGAAACTTCCTTGGAGAAGCAGGCTCTTTGGCAACCCTTGTTCAGGCACTCCCCGTCCCCAACCCTCTCAATAAATTTCCTCTACTCTTAATCTCTGTTGTTCCTTAGAACTTAGCCTTAAAATTGGGGGAACATGAATTTGGCGTATGAGTTCCAGCAGTCTGGGTGTTATATTAGTTCCCCTAGATCAAATAGGAGGATGGGGAGGAAGAAAGAAGAGGAAGGAAGAAGAAAGTCATTCCTCTGACCAGCAAATAACATGCAGGACTGCAATTTGATGCTACAGGGTAGAGCACACCTATTTGGCACAATTTCCATCTTATAAAGTCTGAGGGTAGAGTTTTTTAAAATGGTTCGCAACTAAAGAAAGTTGAAAAGCGGGGAGTTGGGAGGGAGGGAGGTCGGCAGGAAGAAAAAAGGGCGAAGCAATCCGGATCAAACACTTCCGGAGTTTTTAGGTAAGCACGATGCCTTCCAATATCCTTTTTTTCTGATTTTTCTCAAGGACTCAAGGCGCGAAGCTCCAAGGCGCTCCGCCCGCCCCGCCCCGCCCCGCCCAGCCCACTCGGCGTCTCGCCTTTCCCATCGCCCCCGCGCCCCACCCCCACCCTCCAAACCACCCCCTCCCTCCAGTCAGCCCGGCTACTGAGCCTGCGCGCAAAAGGTCTCGCGCGCAGGGCGGCGGGGGTGGGGCCCGCAGCCCCGCCTACCGCCCAGGGGAAGCGGAAGCGGAAGTTGGGGGTGGGCCCTCTCGGGGAGTGAACCGGAAGTGCAAGTCCTTCTGCTGCTTCTCCGCCGGGCGGAACCTCCTCAGCTGGGCCCGGTGACCGCGAAAGAACTTTCTTTCTCCCTCCCCGGAGGTCGCAGCAGCCAGAGGCCTCGCCCGCCTGGCGGCCCGCGCGCCTCTTCGCCCTCTCGCCGGTCGGCTCCGCTCGTGCTGCCACCTCCGCCGCCGTCCCCAGCCCGGCCAGCCGGCTAGCCCGCCGCAGTGATGTGCGACAAGGAGTTCATGTGGGCCCTGAAGAACGGAGACCTGGACGAGGTGAAGGACTACGTGGCCAAGGTGAGCGGGAAGGGCGGGGGCCGGGGGTCCGCAGGACTGGGGGCCCCTCTCCGTGCCAGGGACCCCGCTTCCTTCTTGTCCCGGGGAAGGGAGGCGGCACCTGGCCCGACCGAGGCTGTCCCCGGCGCTGTTGAATTCGGCCCTCTTTCTGCACCGGGGTTATTTAAATCTTTCTTAGAATGATGTAATTCTCCATCTTGGACTTTGCGGTTACTAAATGAAGTCACCCGAGTAAGTAGGATCAGAGGAACGTTTCCTTTCACTCTGGCTCAGATAGGATTTTAAAGAATTCGTGGACCGTGTACAAGAGGACCGAAAATAGCACTAGTTGAAAACGCGTTGAAACTTAGTATCACTTCGCTGTGCAGGCTTAACCTTGGGTGTGGCCTTCTTCCTCTACCCCACCACAATAAACACACTTTGGCTTCGTGGTGCGATCGTCGGTTGGTATCCTGGGTGTTTAAGAAATCCGAGTCGCTTTTCAGAAAGCCCTGTTAACTTCTGGTACCCCGTTTTGCTCCTTGATTTCATCTGAAGGGCTTACCTATGTAGTAACAGTGGCCTTTCATCACAGTATATTTGAGGGTGAAAATCGCGAATAAGTAAATCAAACTCAAACCCATTTCCAAAATATAAAACTGAATTATCTTTGTGGTACCAGAAATGGTACAAGAATCCAAGCTAACTAGCCTTTGAATACAGAAACGTGTATTTTGAAGTATGACAGCTTAGTGTGATTTTAATGAAAGGTTAATTTTTTTAAATATATTTTCCAACACAAAATTATAATTTTATGACATAGCCATCAAAGACAACCTTACTCACCCTTCAAAAGTGTGAGAATCCAGTCTAGATTCCACTTTTTCAAAGGACGGGACCATTGGTCAGTGTTAGGAAACAAGTAAGCAGAAACGGAGTTTCTTAAAACCTGTGGGGTTGTGCAAGGCACGCTCCTCATAGTTTTTCCTCTATTTAATTCCATTGCCATTTAGACCTCTTGTGTGATCCACTTCGTTGGTTTCTGCAGTGGATTTTTAGGACAGGCTGCCTTCTGATCACTGCCTTCTTAACTGAAGCTTGGAGTAGTGCCTCTTTCAGTGTATGGTGAGGATGGCCTTTGTTTTTCCTACCATGGTGGAACCTAGGCTCTTGGAAATAACTAAAAGTTGATAGGTACTAATTGAACATAGGGCAGTAAAAATAACAGTGTAGCTTCCTACTAACATTAGGTTTTCTTCCCGAGACTCGTGAAGTAAGCCCTGTATCTGTTATTAATCCCATTTTACAGATAAAAGAACTACGATGGAAGGTGCTAAGAAAGATATCAGGCAGAGGTCCAGAGATTGTGTCTGAGATGAAGCCACAACTAAAATGCAGTTTCCAGAAGTGAGACTTTGGAACTGTTTCATACAGTCTCCCATAATCTAAAAAATGTGAGAGCATGTGATCAAAGATTTCCACTAGGACATTCCCAAGACCCTCATGCAGGCCTCAGGTGTACACAACCAGTTCTCAGCTCCTCAGAAACGTTTATGTAAAATTACATGCTAATAAAGGAGATTAGTTTAACTTGTTTTCAGATATTCTTAAAACTGAGGTTAATGTTCAGTTTGACTTTTTTCCCCCGACTGCTGTATTGCCTCTGTCATTAACAGAAAAGATGTATATAAGAAGGGCAGTGTTCAAAGACAAGTAATTAAAGGTAGTATTGAAAATTAGTCCACTGTAAGATTGGAGTGTAATGTAATCCTGTAAACGGACCGTGGAGCTTTTTCTTTTCTTAGTTTTACTAAGTAATGGATCTCTTAAAATCTCTTTTACTTTGTTGAGAAATAACCAAACTTCTAAAAACAGACTAGCGCTCTAGTTTGAATACAGCTAAGCTCCCTTTCTAGACTTCACACTCAAGTCTTCATCCCATAGTGTCTTCTGCCCAGAAGCTCACCTGTTCAACCAATGCCAACATTTGTTTTCTGAGTTTGTGTAATATGTACTTACTGAGTATGTACAGAGAAAGCATTGAAGAAGGAAGTGGACTGGTTTTCCTCAGGAGTGAATGTCAGATACTCAGTGCTCTTGTGAGATCTTTCACATTTAGTATTTTCCTTTTTTTTTTTTTTTAAGCTGACATTTTAAAAATTCAGTAATTGCATTTTCTTGCTTCTGACTTTTCGACAGAAATCTGAAGCGTGGATAGTCTTCAGTTGTTGATTTCAAGTAAGTTTTTGAACTCCCAAAAACTCATTTGAAATCCACTGAAAATTTCATGTTTTTAAAGGGAAGAAAGCAGCATGTGGAGAAAAATGCAGACTACTCTGTATTAAATGTTTATCTATAATGTTAAAATGATAACTGAGGCAATTTTAAAGTCCTTCAGCATTACATTTTGGCTCCTTGGCTGACTGAGCTAAAGGCCATGTAAAGTTCATTCATCTGTTTTTATAGGACACCAGGCACTTTTATTAGGCTCAAAATGATGCCGAGGAAGTTGGGCTTGGTGTTTTGGAAACTTCAGCATCTATACTTAGCACACCAGTGTGAAAAATCTCACAGACCTTAAGTAATACGCAAATCATAAGTAACAATTTAGTTGTCAAATTGAAAAAAAAAAGTGTAAGATACTAAAAAAGGGAAGGCAGCGTAAGCAGCTACAGTAGGTATTCATAGCCCCATTTGTAATCTGTACACTGCCTCTGGGTGACATTATTTTTGCCTTTGTCTTCTGTTTCTACCTTAATGTTAATTTCTCCCATTGGCATTAATTCTGGTAAGATTATCTAATGGGTACCTCTGATAAAACTGCAAATTAAGCATACTGTTTTCCTGTCAAAACTGCTTCTGTTTCTGTTGTCTCCATTCTAACTTAGGACCTCATGACCCAATCATTTATCCACACTAGACTTTGGGGGATTTTCCTAGATTTCCAAGGGTCATCAGGACTACCTTCTTAGTTTCTTTCATCCATGCCTCACTCACCAGTCTTAGCACAATTACTTTAGGTAAGTTGCTGCTCCTTTACAACCTGGACTGTTTTCTTAGACTGTAGTTCTTCCAATCCAGTTTAGCTGTGGGAGTGTCATTATAATGTGAATCTAAGCATACAGTATTACCTTTTTTCTCAAGGAACCTCTTTCCCTGTCCTTAAGATACCTTTGTGTGTCCCATTAATTATTTCACATGGGCCATCTTCTTGGTTCAGCAAACAAGTGGTGATGGTGTGGACTTGTCTTTCTCACCGTGCTCTTTTTTTGCGGTATGTTTTTCTGTGTGCTCTTTCTTTTTTAAGTCAGCCCAACTCTGTCCTTAGCTGGTGAGCTCCTACTAATCCTCTTAGAGTAAATATTACCTCTTCCAAAATAACATTTCCACTTCCGATGGAGCACTGCTTCTTTTACGGTGTCACTGATTAAAGTGTGCTGTTGCTTACATATCTCTTTCATTCGGTTCTCAACATCTGGAGGGCAGATAGTATATTCATTTTCATAATTGTATCTCTACTATGGTACAAGAGAATTTCACACACTAAATGCATATGCTTGTAGTAGGAAATTCTTTTAATTTTTAATTTGACTATGATTTCAATAAACTTTACTACTTAAGTAATAATTACCATTGATTGGTTTACTTAGGGTGACAAGAAAAAAGCATTTGGAAAAGAAAAAAGCATTTGGCAAAATACTTTTCATCCCTCCCACACACAGTTTCTTTTTTTTTATTTATAATTTTAATTGTTTTAAATGATTGCAAATTAAAAATAAATTATTTACAAACATAAATGAATATAACAATAAAAATTGTCCAAGATAAAAATGAAGAATTTACAGATCAGTCATAATAGTTCACTGTGTCAAAATCAAGAAACTTATATTCATATAATTAGAATTCTCAAAGTAGAATGGAGTAGGCAATAAATATTTAAAGATTTAAAATTTCTGAATTTAGTTCAACTTATAATACCATATTTCCAAGAAAAATGAATCTTTTTGCACAAGAAATTTAAAATCATCCAAGATACACAAAAATTAGGTTGTTCAAAACTTATTGTAAAGAAAAAAATCATTAACGCATATACATCAAAAATATTAGCTATGGAAGAATAAAATTAAATAGCATCTTATTCCACATTAGAAAGAAAAAAAAGGACCAAGTGTGTAAGAAACTAGACTAATTAAAGAACTGAAAGAAAAGATCTGTCCTCTTTGAATTTTATGCTTAGCAAACATACCTTTGAAAAGTAAAAGTAAGATTTTCTAGTTATACAAACTTGAAATATTTTAATACCTCCAGAAGTAGCATATAGGAAATAACAAAGAGCATAATTCAAAAGACAAGAGAAGTTGCAGTATGCTCCTGGATGAACAATAAAGAGCTCTCAATATGATAGTTAGGCAGGAGTATATAAAATACATTAGATGAACCCTTATTTACAGGTCATTGCAGGTTTCTATGAAACAGTACCAATCTTATGTTGGGTTATACACATACTTTTTTTCATAAATATGTGTGTATACGTGTGTATAAAAGACAGGAAAGAAGTAATATAAAGTCAACAGAAAATGGAAATAAACTTTTTAAAGTTTCTAATACTAGGAGAAGATATCATATGTCTTTTAAGTAAATTGTAAGTCAAAGGTACAGTATAAATCTTAGAACAAAAATTGAGATTAAGCAATATTCAGAAATTTAAATACTAATTAATTAAAAATTAAATGTTTCAAAACAGTTGAACTAAGAAAAGGTTTTCATGATAGCAAAGAAGTATTAAGAGTAAAACATAAGATAAATACTGGAATGGCAAATAAATGACCAGCACTTCTAACAGTTTGAGGGTAGGGTATCGCACAAAGTTCTCGTGTGTTGTGGACATACAAACGATCATGACAGTTACTGGTGGCCAGGCGTCATTTGCACAGTTTCAGTATAGACAATATTTCCATTTTAAGCATAAGAACACTGAGGCTTAGAAAAGTTAGTGTCACCCAGTTGTGGAGTAGTAGTAT